CCCGGGCCGGCGCTGCCGGGCCCCGCCGCCGCCGCCCCGCCGGGCCCGGCCCTGGCCCGCCTGCAGGGCCGCGAGTTCGAGTTCCTCATGCGGCAGGCGGCGGTCACCATAGGCCGCAACTCCTCGCAGGGCTCGGTGGACGTGAACATGGGGCACTCGAGCTTCATCTCCCGGCGCCACCTGCAGCTCAGCTTCCAGGAGCCGCACTTCTACCTGCGCTGCCTCGGCAAGAACGGCGTCTTCGTGGACGGGGCCTTCCAGCGGCGGGGCGGCCCGGCCCTGCAGCTCCCCCCGCAGTGAGCGCGGGCAAGGGGGGGCGGCCCCCGACCCTGAGGGGGCGTGGGCATGGGGGGGCTGGGCACCCCACCCCGTGGAATAAAAGGGGGACCCCCTATCCTGGGGGGGGCGTGAGCAAAGGGGACACCCCGTTCCCACAGGGCAGGGAGGAGGGCAACCTCCTCTGGGGAGGGGGGCAACCTCATTCCCCCCCCCGGGAGGCGTGGGCAAAGGGGACAGCCCCACTCCCTTGGGGTCAGGAAGGGGCATCCCACCCTGGGGAGGCATGGGAAAGGTGGCACCTTCACACCCATGGGAGCGCCCCACTCTCAGGAGAAGGGGCATCCCCACCCCCATGGGAAGGAGGGGATATGAGGTATCCCTGTGGGGGGCAATAAGTAGGGGAAGGAAAGGTAAAGGGGTGCCCTGACCCCCTGGGGAAGAGTGGAGGGTGTTGGTCACTTCCACCCGGATGGAGGGGGATGCGGGGCATTGTCTGCCCCCTGTCTCAAGAGAGAAGAGGTGTCATGTCTCAGGGTGGGGAAAAGGGGAAGGGGGGTTGTTTTTTTCTGAGAGAGAGCGAGCGCTTCTTCTGGGAGATGTTGTCCTCCCTTAGCCCAAGAGGTGTCTTTGCTGGAGGATGCCACCCCTGGCGGGGGGGCCGGATGGGAGGCTGCATGACCCAAAGGGTCTAAGGGAAGTGAGGCAGATAGTTGTCCCTAAGAAAGCTGTGTTTCATTTCCCAGGAGAACTCTGGGGAGGTGAAAGGAAATGGGGAGTGTTTTACCCATTGGGAGGGGACAGGCTAGTTGGGGAATTATTTTCTCAGACTCCAGGGGAACAGCAGCATGTTGCTTTATCGCCTCTGGGAAATGGAGGAGGCAACAGGCAGTGGCAGAGGGAAGCTACAGGGCTTACTCTCCCAGGTGGAACGGACGGGGTTCTCCCTCCTGCGGAGGAGATAATGATTTTTCACCCCACTTTCTGCTCTGAAAACATTGTGTTTTGTGGCTGAGCGCTATTAAACAGCTGCCATGTTCTACCCCAAGGTGACAGCATATTAGTGGTGGGTGAGGTAATCTCTCTGTGTATATCTCTGTAAAGCTGTACTATACACACAATATATGTAATCTCTGAGACTAAAAAGCACTATATAAATGCAAGAGATTATTAATATTTTATTTATTATTCTCCACTTAATTTCACCTTGTTTGTAGGGGCATCTGATTTATTTGGTAGTTTTTGGCCTTCGTACCATTCACCTCCAGCAGCAGGGTCCCTAAGGGTTATCCCTCTTTCATCAGCCTTCTGCTCAGAAGAGAGTTTTTTAATTACTCACTTCCTCTACTGGCTGTTTCTTTTTGTATTTAGTAATTTAGTTATAACTCCCCAGCCGCTTGCTCTCTGAGGCTTTTTGGTTTTGAAACATGTTTCATTTTCTAAGGAGATGTCCTTTGACTGTCTGTTTAATTAATCTTTCTTTGTAAAACAAGCCCCCTAAAGCCTAGGGCATTTCTGTTGCATTGCTCCCTCTTGGTTCTGGATTTATTTGTGTGAGCTTCATCTCCTCCCTGTCATTATGTTTCTTCATGTAGTTAATCATAAGTATTGTGCCCAACAATACTCTCAAGCAGAGAATTCACTGTTTCTTTTCCCTCTACTTGCTCGTGACTTGCGGAGTGGAAAAGGTGATTTCCCCCACTCTCCCTTCATCACTTGTAGGGGAGGAGTTTATTTACTTTTTTCTGTACAATTAGGAGCCCTGCACAGTAAGACACCTTCTCTTCTGGGCCACTGTTTATGATCCATGTAAATGAACTCCATGCCCCTCCTTTCCAAGCTGTAAAGTAGATCGATGGCAAAACACTTTTCTAAGGGAATTTGCCCTCTTGTTCATTCCAGGTAAACAACTTCCATCTTCCCCATGTCCTCTACACAGTCAGGGGTTTATCACTCAGACATAAAACAAAAAATAAACAAAGAACTTGCCTGAAGCTTAGTATGCATGGTCTCAGTGAGACATAAAACTGATCTTCTGTCCACTTCTTCTGTCTGTGCTCTTGACAAAAAGAGAACTTTAGGTCCTGGAACCAGTAAGAACCATGCACACCTACTGCTGTCTAAATAATATAGTCAGCAATAAAAAATGGAGATAATTTTAAATATTTTGTATTGAGAACTTGCTGTGCATTTTATTCTGAAATATTATTTGATATGAATTTCATTATCAGGTCTGGCTGTACTATGCTGTTTAAATGTGGCAGAAGAATCTATACGTTATATTAAGCGTTATGATCTAATGGAAGTTCTGTCAAATGATTTAAATTAGAGTTCACCTATGGTGGTTCAGGGAGTACTTGTGGAGGTTTTCAGAGCGCTGGCTAGTCATATGGTGCTGACTTTATTACCTTATTTCCACCTGATTGAAACACAGTAAAAGACTGATTAAAAATACATTGCATATGTTTAGAAGAGTATTTCATTGCTGCTGCTGTTACAGGGATGTTAGGGGAGGGAGGTTGTCCATAAATGGGAAGGAGGGGTCCAGGAGACAATTGCTGTGTTCAAAAGTCATCCACACTGTGGAAAAAGTTTTAAGAACTCCCTGTTTTAAATTCACCATTTGTCATCATTGCACTTCAGAAGTTTCCTGGAAAAATGAGATTATACCAAATACCTTGCCTTGTTAGAAACTCTTCTGAGCTTACAGTGGGCACGCTTAAAGCATTATGGAAAAACTCTACCGTTTCCGTCAGAATCGTCCATTATGAAGACGGGGAATATCTCTGGAAACGGTATCTTTCAAACTTGTGGAATTTGAAGACACTGCATTGCCATCCTACCTCATGTGCGTATTCTAGGCTGCAGTATTGTATTTCACAGCTGTGTCATTATGGAAGGTTGTATTTTACAGATGTGATGCCACAGCTATGAAATATTATTAAGCAATAATGACCAACAAGGAGAGCATTTCCTAGAGGTTAGTGATCAGCTGGAACCAAGCTGGGTGGAAGAGCTGAGGGCCTCAGGTAAAACTAAAGAAGGTCCTTAACCAGTTGATTAACAGGAGAGCCAATCCAGAGATCGTTATTAGTATTCTAAACTGTGGCAAATGGCTTTTTATAAAGTAGGATGGAACAATGAAATCACTTGATGTAATTAAAAAAATAGTTTAAATCAGGTTGACGCTGTGCAAAACTAATTTGAAAATTTGTGGTGTTGCATCTCTAGGTTAAAATTTATAATGAACTAAAATATAAATGCTGTTGTTTAACATAGCCACTATCTAAAGGGTATTAAAAACGGCTATAGGCAGAAAACAAAATACTGAAAATTAAGGCCCAGATCCTGCAAACAAGCAGGTAAATAATTTGACTTTAGTGGGACTACTCATGTGCTTAAACTCAAGCAGTGTCAAGGGTTAATTCTATTTTTATTCCAACCCTTTTCTTTGTGGCAAAAAAATCTTTGTAGCTTCAAAACTTGTTTCAGTTTTAAGAACGAAAATTTATTTAGACTTCCAGTTCCTTGAGAAGGGTATTGTGACCTTTTTTTATGCACATAGGCTAACATTTTCAAAACCAGATGCCTAAAGTTAGGCTCCTAAGAGTGGGATTTTTAAAGTCACCTAAGTCACGTAGGTTTGCAAGACCCAGGGTACGTCTATACTTACCGCCGGGTCCGGCGGTAAGCAATCGATCTTCTGGGATCGATTTATCGCGTCTTGTCTAGATGCGATAAATCGATCCCGGAAGTGCTCGCCATCGACGCCGGTACTCCTGCTCCGCGAGAGGAGTACGCGGAGTCGACGGGGGAGCCTGCCTGCCGCGTGTGGACCCACGGTAAGTTCGAACTAAGATAGTTCAACTTCAGCTATGTGAATAACGTAGCTGAAGTTGCGTATCTTAGTTTGAAGTGGGGGGTTAGTGTGGAAAAGCCCCCAGTGACAACTGCAAATGCTGATGGAGGAGTGTAGTCTGGTCAAAGCACTTGAGGTTTCTCAACTTGTGGGAATTCAGTATATTGAAAGTTGGTGATGGTTGCAAATATTGTATAGGCTATTTGTTTATCGTTTTTGGTGTTCTTGGGGTAAGGACATTAGTCTTGGACTTGTGTTTTTATCACAGATGAGCATTTTCGGTGAGGGGCTTCTCAGAAAAATATCTGTTCGCTGAAATTCTCTTAACAATTAGGGAGCTAAAGAAACTAGTAATTTAAGACTGTAAAATGGAAAGACAGTAAAGAAATACAGCATATAAATAAAAACCCAATTAAATGATAAGATGAATTTAAGTAAAATTGGCTTTTAATTTTTTAATCATTTTTATCAACCCTGCTATAAATTGAAAATCTAAATATTGGACTACATGTTGCCAAGAATCTGCTGTTCTGTTTATAATATTGGGGTTTTCCTGTTCAATATATTTTGGTCTGGTTTATTAAGTGCCTATCTAAAGCTTTAGGCTTCATTAAGGCCCTGATCTTGCAAAGACTTATGCACGTTGCTTAACATTATGCACTGTGAGTAGTCCTGTTCACTTCAGTGGGACTACTCATAGTGCATAAAGCTAAACACATGCATAAGTCATTGTAGCATTGGGGTTTAAAGCATTAAAGGCTAGTTTAGTAATTCATAAAAGAACAGGATTTTATTCCCAGCATTCTCTGTTTATAAACATTGTTGTATAAAGGGGGGCGGTGGAAACACAAGGCAATTTATAAGTGCTAGCCAGTAGGATTGAAGTATGTGACTAAAGTAAAAATCGGCACGACGTAGGAAAACTGATATGCACAAATTTCAGGGTTTTGATGACCTCATAAACCACTCAATCTCCATTCTTGTGGTTAGAATGATGCCATCATGGTGTATGAGTGTGTATAGTGTTATAGCTCAGAGGGAACTGTGAGCTATATGTACACATACCAAGGAAATGCTTTGACCACATAACCACGACTGCAAAGCTAGAGTTGTTTCTGAAATGTTGTAGGTGTATCTTCAGTTCTGATCACTCTTTTCCTA